CGCTCACCCTTCCAGCAAGTTGTTTGGTTAATTCTAAAAGACTTGTGAAAAATGCATGAGGCCTGTGATACAATAGATAAGCTGAAAAGCTTGGAAGAAAATCTGCTTGTGGATAGTGGAGCCACTGGAGAAACTCCTTCTTTGTCCTCTCTGTCCTTGTCCCAAAAGAGATTGTGTTTGGGAATAATTCTTCTGTTAATTCTGATGCTTTCGTCCTGGGTCAAAAGCTCGTTGGCGCCTGCTTGTCAGATCTTTTCCTCTTTGGTTTCTTCTAGCCCCTTTGGCTTAAATTCATGTCTTAATGAGTCTGAGTTCTCTCTTTAAAGGTCACTGTCCTAATGCATGAAAGTGGAACCAGAACGAGCTTTGTGGTTTTTTAAAATTTAATTAAATTTTTATTGAAGTATACTTGATTTACAGTGTTTCTGGTGTACAGCAAAGTGATTCGGTTATATATACAGACGTAGATGTATATTCTTTTTCAGATTCTTTTCCATCTTAGGTTATACAAGATATTGAATATAGTTCCCTGTGCTATATAGTTGGTCTCTGTTGCTTATCTATTTTATATATAGTAATGTGTATCTGTTAATCCCAAATTCCCAGTTTATTCCTCCTCTACCCTTTCCCCTTTAGTAACCCTAAGTTTGTTTTCTGTGTCTGAGTCTGTTTCTGTTTTGTAAATAAGTTCATTTGTATATATATTTTTAGATTCCACATGTAAGTGATGTCATATATTTGTCTTTGACTTACTTCACTTAGTAAGACAATCTCTAAGTCCTTCCATGTTACTGCAAATGGTATTATTTTATTCTTTTTTATGGCTGAGTAGTATTTCATTGTGTGTGTGTATACATACACACCACATCTTCTTTACCTAGTCATGTCGATGGACATTTAGGTTGCTTCCATGGCTTGGCTATTGTAAATAGCACTGCTATAAACATTGCGGGTACATACATCTTTCTGATTTAGAGTTTTTATCTTTTCCGGATATATGCCTAGGAGTGGGATTGCTGGATCAATGGTAACTCTATTTTTAATTTTTTAAGGAACTTCCATACTATTTTCCGTAGTGGCTGCACCAATTTACCTTCCCACCAACAGTGTAAGAGGGTTCCCTTTTTTCCAGAACCTCTCTAGCATTCATTATTTGTAGACTTTTTGATGCTGGCTATTCTGACTAGTGTGAAGTGGTACCTCATTGTGATTTTGATTTGTATTTCTCTAATAGTGATGTCGAGCATCTTTTCATGTGCCTGTTGCCATCTGTATGTCTTCTTTAGAGAAATGTCTGTTTAGGTATTCTGCCCGTTTTTTGATTGGGTTTTTTTATTTTTGATACTGAGCTATATGAGCTGTTTGTATATTTGGAAATTAATCCCTTGTCAGGTGCATTGTTTGCAAATATTTTCTCCCATTCAGTAGGCTGTCTTTTTGTTTTGTTTATGGGTTCCTTTGCCGTGAACTAACTTTGTGTTTTTCAGCAACTGTGCACTCTTCTCAGTACTGCAGTGGGGGTGGGGGGTGTGTCCATGTTTTACAGGACCTTGGTTGTTGGGGGAGCACTGGGCCAGCCTGTTGAAGCAGCATCTCTGATGATGCCTCCCTTTTGAAGGAGAGCAGTGAGCATGTGTGTATCCCTGCCGTTACCTGTAATGCGTCTAGCAAGCAGTTGCCTATGTTGTTCTTGGAACAGCCCCCATGTGTGGCCTTGAATGTGCCTCAAACCCTATTCCTAGGTTTCTTCAATTTAGACTCACAAGTCACAGATGAGGAAACGGAGACAAGAGCAGCAAGTGGCTTGCCCAAGGCGACAGCAGGCGGTGATTGCAGCGGGAGCCTGGGTTTCTTGACTCCCAGTCCCAATCTCCTCTGTGCCCGGCTGCTTCCCGGCACGACGGGCCGGGTGGGCGGTGAGAGCACTGAACTGCTTTCAGTTCATAACCCAGAAGGCAAATTCATCTGCCAGGATTCTCACTGGCCAGATCCAGTAAAGGAAGACGTGGAAGGCTGTTGTTCATCCAGCATCGGCTGCACCCTGCATGATGCCCTGAGAGCTGTGGATGACGCGAAGGTTGTTGAGCGGATGACCTTTTAACATGAGGACATTGATGTACTTGCAGTCGTATATGTTAATCTCGGTTTCTCACGAATGATGTGCTCTTGTGACAGCATAGACCTGGTTCAGGGGAACAAACCCTGGGAGAGGAGCAGTGCCCACAGGAAGAGCTGCCGCTGGGGAGCCCGCGGCAGAGAGGTTCAGGCACCTGGGTAAGGCTGAGGCCGCAGGAGAGAGAACTGGACACGGCCCCTTGGCCTGAGGGCAGCCCGGGATAACCCTTCCTTAAGGACACCTGTGTGTGCCAGATGCGGGCCCCCCCACATCAGCTGCTGGGCTCATTCCATACGAGCAGGGCCAGGGGCCAGCCTCTCAGGGAGAGGAGAAGGCCGTGAAGGCAGCTTCTGTTCTGCATTTGGGTCTGCAGGTGCGGCTGCTGGGAGAGGACCTTGGTGGGGCGAGAGCATGGAGGCCCCACGGAGTTCATGGGTGTGAGGACAGGAGGAAGACCTCCCCAGATGCATGCCCTGACCACCCCTTAGGGACGCAGACTTTTTTTAAATTTTAACATTCAGAGAAAAAGACGCCCATGAGCCCATGACCAGATACTCTGGTATGAAACACAAGGCAGGAGCAGATTTCAGAGAAATAGATGTGAATCTGGCTTTTGTGTTGAGAGCTCTTTAAAATGATTGCTGGGAACCAAAACTGGTTCACTGGAAAAAAAAAATCATCCCAAATGGAGCTTTCTTTTTGCTGATAAGGTTTACTAGAAAAGAAGCATTGTGGCTTTTCCTCGGCCTCTGCTGACCTCCCAGACTGATCTCGTCTCGTGGATGGGAGCTGTGAATTAAGCTGGCGTATTCATTCCCTGAGGCTGCCGGGGCAGAGTACCACAGGCTGAGTGGCCTAAAACAATAGAAACCCGTTCTCTCTCAGTTAAGGAGGCTAGAAGTCTAGAATCAAGCTGTCTGCGGGGGGTGGTTCCTTCCGGAGGCTCTGCGGGAGAATCTGTTCCACGCCTCTCCTGGCTTCTGGTGGCCGGTGGCGATCCTTGCCTTGTAGCTGACTTCAGTCACTGTCTCCGTCATCACACAGCCTTCTCCCTGTGTGTCCCTGTGTCCAAACAGTCCTGGTCTTGAAGATGCCAGTCAATGAATGAGGGTTCATCCTAATGCGATATGACCTCATCTTAACTCGATTACATCTGTAAAGACATTATTTCCAAATAAGGGCACATTCTCAGGGACTGGGGCTTAGGACTTGAACAGATCTGTGGGCGGGACACAGTTCAACTCACAGTAACAACAGCTGGTAAATGGCCTTCCTTACGCCCAGCCTTCTCTCCGAGCCCCTCTCCTGTTACTCCAGCAGTCCCCATTTTTGTCCTTAGAGTCTTAGAACCAGAGGGGTGGTCTCATTTCCTTGACAAGCTGCTCTAGCCCACTGATGTGACC